GAGGCGTCCCAGGTTTGAACTGGATGGAAGCCGCAATCCTTCGGTCGGGGCTCTGGGCAAGCGCCTGCGGCCAACCCGCAGAGGACAGCCGCGAGTGTTTCAACAGACCCCACAGCGCCTGATGCATTGTTGACGGGTGTCTTCAAGACCTCGTGGCCACCTGCGGGTTGGACGCTATGGGGCTGTTGCTGTACCTCGTGTTGGGGTTTGCCGCATACTTCCTCGCGAAATGGTGGGCTCATGCACAGACCCGTGAATGCGGGTGCCAGCCCATTGGCCATATGGAAGTGGAATGCTGCTTTGGTTTGGCTCGATTGTCATGATCCACTTTGATACGAAGGGTTCTTCTCTTGTGACACAACTGGAATATTGACGTCAGCGGAAGGAGACAAGAGTGAGTGCTCCGGATGCTGTGGCAGGGGGCTGGCCAAGGTTGTCTCTAGGGCCTGCAGCCGAGGCGGTGTGTCCCTCAACGTGTCTGACGTCTCGATTTTGAGGTTCCGCAATTTGAGCCTTAAGTTGCGAAAGGTATGCACTGATTGTTCATGGAGTCAAACTCGATAATCGACGGCCGTACCCCGCTCCAGAGGATGGTAGTCAGTCCGTCAATTTCCCTACGACTTGTGTCATGCACAATGCCCGCGAAGCGCCACAGTACGTCGGTTAGCCAACAAGCGTGCGGCTGTTGCGCTTTCACGTTGCCATGCCTGCCTCATCTGGCACATTCAAACAGTCACCTTCACGCACCTGACGCCACTGAAGGTGACCACGTCGTGCTTCGTTGCGGCAGGGCCCTCTTGCATCTGTATCCCTGGCTGATCTGCAGCTTTTTCGCGTCGAGGGCTGGAACAGGACGTTCCAGTGCTGGCTCAAGCACGCGGTCTTTCCGATAACTGTGGAAAACCCTGAAGTGCGGCTGCGAGTCTTGGATCATGCTGAGAAAGGAAGTGGGATACGCTCTGCAGGCAGGGGTACCAGGAACCCAACGAGGGTGCCTGGCCTTGTTAGCAGACTCCTGGCAGCATTGCTGCCGAAGATTCCCATCACAGTCAATAACATCAAGTTGGTGCTCGAGGTGAGGGAATCCTTTGCTGCTGGGCCTTTGTCCGCTGGATCAATTTTCTTCTGCCACATGCGTTTGTATTTAAAAGGCGTGGTGGGAAACTGGAACCAGGGGCGAACGAAGGGCGTTTTGTTGGATTGCTGTACTCATCGTCCTTGTTACATCGGTGCATGCAACTTGTTTGCCAACGATCCAGGAATAGGAAGTTGGAAGTTCAACATTCGCTGGAAGAGCTTGCAGTGCAAGGGATTGGAATGCTCTTGAATATTTGTGGGCATCTTGCCAAGCTTTTTACCAATGGTGCATGCAGGATTTGGGCATCACCATTGCACTGCCACGCCTGGCTATTCTGTTTGAGGCTGCCAACAGCACAGAACCATTGCAAATGGGGCTGAAGGCACTCCCTGTCAAAGCCATGGTGTCAAGCGAGCCCCCTGGGGACAAAGGTGACAGATGGTGTTTGGCCTTAGATACATTGTAGGACACAAATGCTGTTGCTAAGGCCTCAAACAGCTGTGGTGCATTGCACTGGCAGAGACTGTTGTAAGATCACATTCTGCCCACTGTTGGCATCAGATGCTCAGCCTAAGTATCTCTATTGTCGCCTTTCCTTGGGGGGTTGCCTGGAAAGTATGTTGACACAGTAAAATCATCCAGTTGGAATTGGAAAGTTGGAGTGGAATTGGGTGAGATGGAGGCATCACAACTAGGTGGGAGATATGTTTATTCCCTTGACCAACAATATTGCATGTTCAAGACAGTGCTTGAAATGAATGCAACAGTGAACTGACATTCTTTAGAAATTGTTGACCAGAATGTTGTATCGTCCTTGTTCACGCGCGCAACTTGTCTGTTCTCCATTTGCTGAGGATGTTGACTTGTGCTTGAACTGGCATCGTCCTTGCAGGTGATGGCAGGGTGATTGCAGATGTGGATGTTGGAGAATTATCTGAGATTTCTGTCACTGCAGCTATGAATATTGGGTATGGAGCTGGATGCACCCGTTTGGCACATGCAAAAACAACATGCATGAACTGTTTTATCCACGGATATGCCAGCTTTGCTGCCAGAAATACAGTGTCACTGTTGGGGTGCCTTAGGTCTTTTCCTGTTGTGGAACTGCACAACTGCTGTTTGAACTTCATTGTCGGGAGACACATGCATGCAGATTTTTGTAGTCATTCTGCGATGAATTGCACCCAGCTGTCATTGCATTTTGAAGTCAAGCTGTGCATGTCTTTGATTGTGAATGTGAACACTGCACTTGGCCTAAAAAATGTGACAGGTAAATACAGTACAGCCAATGGCTTATTGTTTTGTGCATTTCGAGTGGTGATGTAGTCACCCTGGTGGTTGGGGCACAGCAAATCTGTTTGCATTGGGGAAAGGGGCACCAGTGTGTTCTTGACCTCATCCAGAGGGGTGTAGTGCAGTACAACATTGAACAGAATGGAAATGTGATGTGGCCAACAAATAGTTGTTAATGCGCCATTATTAAGGCTAAGTAAGCGACCCAGTGCAAATGCAAACTTGCATAAAAGTGTGATCCCCATTTGAAAGTTGACTCTGGCAGTCTCAACTGGAATCGGTGAGAATTGAACCAGAAGTAGCAGCTAACACACACAGCACAAGTACGGGGAGCTCACAGAAGTTTCACAACTGCATGTTGAGATGCTCTGTCGATCCCATTTGTCCTGGTTTTGAATCAGGTGTTCAATAGCAGGTGTCAGCGTATTCAGTAGAAATCACTGTTGCTAGTTAGCTCACGTAGCATGTACTTGGCTTTGCAACCAGCGTTATGCCCTCAGAATGTATTGGTAACAGTAGGTGTTTGTAGATAAACTTTTATTAGTGGGATGCTTTGCTCTGAATACAGTATATGTTCTGATCAAAGCTATGCGCCATGGAAATTGTTGCAAGCAAGCAAGCAAAGAATGCCAATTTTAAGCACGAAAGCGATTCAATCCTACATTTGTCACCAGGCTGGATGGTGGACACTGGCGGCTGCAGTACTCGACATAGGTTTTCAGCATGGATTGTCTTGTTGCGCCTCGTACCTTCTGTCTAATGCAATGGGTGTTTGAAGTTTCAAAGATGTGAGAGTTTTGTTTATTTATGTTCTGGAGTGCATCTGGAAATTGTGGACCATATGTGTGTCTAGTGTGCTGTTAATTGCATTGTGCATGTGTGTACCAGGGGATCGTTTTTTGTGCACCCTGTCAGCAGTGTTGCTGTAAAGCTGGGAAAAGTTGATTGCAGCATTCCTTTTGATACTGTGCTCCAGCTGGCCCTGTGCATTGCAGAGAGGAAGACAAAGTTAGCAAAAGGTGTTAAGGGCTTGCCCATGCAGCAGCTTACAACTCCACCTGCTTCACTGGTGAAGAATGTATTGCAGCTACTTCCCAATGAGGTATAATCAGTGGGTGTGTGCCACATGCTCATTGTGGCAAAGGCTGTTCCTGCAGACTGCACAGGGTTTTTTCTTTTATACTCTACTGTCTGTTATTACCCTGCATGGGCACAAACTGGAAAATATTGAAACATGCCATTTTCAATGACACGCTCCTGTGTGAGGGATCATTTTCATGGCTGTGTTGTATCTGAGTGATTTCTTGCAACGCACAGTTGCACAGCTTTCCTGGGCACACAATATCATTTGCGGGACACAAGGGCATTCTGTCACACTGCAGCTGCACTGTGGCTCATGTGTCTGGGGAGCTTCAGTCAGTTTCCTTCTTGTGATCTACCACCCCATCCCTAGGAACCCTGGCTGGACAGCTCACAGGGGCTGTTAATTACATCTAGAAATCGAAAATTGGAATGCCAGGCTTTTGGTATGCTAATACCAATAGTTAGTTGTCAAATCAGGCCACAGCTCTTCTCAAACCTGCTTTACTGAGAACCGGTGAAATCCCAGAGTTTTAGGTGGCTCCTGGGTAGCCAATGTCTTCCCATGGGGCAAAGTTGTGTCTTGTATGCTGAGACATACTCTTCACTGGCTTGCAATTGCTATCTCTGACTGTGCAGCATAAACCAGTGCGCTTGGCACATGTCTCACTGTAGACTGAACGACACCTGTGCATTCTCATGTACCACAGGTTGTTTTGGAGACAGCAAACATATCAGTTGCGGCTGTTGGTCTTGGAACCGCGGATACTGGCCGTGTGAGCTGCCACTTGGATGGTATTCATCTTTCATCAAAATTGCCTGGAGATTCACACAATGTGTGCCTCAGTGGTAATATTGGGCCACTAAAGGCAAGGGTTTCTGTTGAAGACAGTCAGACAGCCATAAAGCTCATTATGCCACTGTGCACCACATCGTTTGCTTTGGACTGGTGTGAATTCAAAGACAGAAATGTGTTTTCTGTCAGTTCTGATGGAACTGTGGACTCACATGGGCTGAAATTGAGTGCAAGCGATGAGCATGTGTGGGATTTCATACGCATTGCGCTGGGGTTTGTGCAACGCTGGGAACACAGCCATAAGCAGTTAACTTCCAGACAGAGTGGCAGTGGTGTGGAGGAAATTTGTGTGATGGAAGGAATGCATGTGGCTGATGGATGTGAGGTGGATGACCAGTCAGGCAAGGATGATGGCAAAAAAGGCACTGAAACATTGGAGGGAAAGGATCCAGGGTCTTTGCTTGAAGAAGATCAGTTGCTTGCAGCAACAAAACAGCTCCTAAAGAAGACACCCATCTCAACCGGCGATGTTGATGGTGACACTGGTCAAGTGCTGGCAGCGAGTCCTGGGAATGTGGGTGCTGATGCCATTCCGCTGCAGCTGCAGGGCCGTTGGAACATCACCATGAAGCTCTCTCAAGAACTGACTGTTGAACTCATGGAAAACTCTGACCCACTATGCACCCTTCATGCAGATACGTTGTCAGTCGCTTGCTGGCGACAGAGACCAATGCCAAGAGTAGATTCAGGATTGACTATCAGCAAAGCCAGTGAGCGCACTGACAGCTTGCCCGAGGACATCAGCACTGATGCTGATGTCCATTTGGAGCTTGCTGTGAATGTTGTGGATTTTGCAGTTGCATGCAAACCATTGGAGAAGAACCTTGGGGTCGTGAGCTTGGCTGGGCTGAGCAAAGTCACACTCGGCTGCCTCTTGAAAGCAACCTTGCAGCCTTCGTACACAGTTCACGTTGATGGCATCCTTATGGCCACTGCTCTGCAGGTTAACCTCAGCAAACAGAGTGTGCTGTCTATTGTTGCAACTGCAGAGCATGTGGTGAAGAAATTGATGCCTGCAATTGAGAACATTTGGGCAGTCAGTGAGCAGTCCACTTCAGACAACGGTGTGGACTGTCTGGCAGAGTCAAGGTCACGGAAAAAGGTGACTGTTGACTGGAGTGGTACCGTGGAGGGTGCAAAAGTTTCCTATGAAACCGATTTTGCACTGAAAGACAATCAAGCCCCAGGCATGTCGGACCCTCATGTCACTGTTGAATTGGCCATGAGCCAGGTTCAAGCTGCTCAGAAATTTGACGACCGTGGAGCAAAGATTGATGTGAAAGATATGGCAATAGATTTCTACATTGCCTGTGCGGAGTCTTCTGATGTGAAGACACAGGAGAAAATCGATGTCCTAACCATAGAAAGGCTAGGTGCCTCCTTTGAGAGGAAGAGTGCTGGCATTGTGGGCTATCTGAAAGCCACAAAAGGGCATGTAAGGGTGCATGTGGATCAGCCATTGGTGGGATTGCAGATCGCACATGATGCTGTGACTGCTCAGCACAGGATACAGGATGTGGTGCATGCTGTTGTGCATTGGAAGACAAAGGCAGACGTTGTCCTGAACGATGAGACTGAACATGCTGTGGGGAAGCTCCAGATGGCACCAGCTGACTGTGAGATGAGCCCCATGACAAGAGAATCAGCTTCAACAGCAGAGAAGGGGCCCAATGTAGCTATGGAAATAGAAGTGCAAGAAATCGCTGTGGAAGCAGCTGTGGGTGAGTTGGACACTCTCACTGTGTTCATCAGAAAGGCATTCACCCGAACTGATGCACCAGACCACAGAGTTCATGCAGAGTATATCCAACTGCTTGTGAATGGAAAGAGAGTGGTAGAGAGCATTAACACAAGCGTCAGGGTGCATGACCCAGCGCCAGTCACACATCTTGACAGCAAGCGTTATCACAGCGGGCTTCAGAGGGGCAAGAGGCTGTCCCAAGTGGAGGAGTTGGCTGCAGAGAGAGCTTTGCAACTGGCACATGCTGTTGTTGGCGAAGGCAGTCCCTTGCACAGCGTGAGTGTGCTGCCAGATCCAGGTGTTGCAGTTGGAGCGAATGGAACTGAACTCTCTGAAATTGCCAATGTTTTTGGAAATCAGCTCAAACCATGTTCATGAAAGTCTGCTGGCAGTTTCAACATACAGGAGGTGATTCATCAGTATTGTGACTACAGTGTGTTCCATGCAAGCGTTGGGTGCCTGATGTAGTCCGTTGCCCTATGTGAATTTGGATGCAGATTGAGTGAATATCACAAACAAGAGATGTGTTGCTGAGCTGACTGTGTGAAATCGCAGTGTTAAAATCTTGAGTCGTGTTGCTGCATCAAAATAAAGAAATTTTCATTGCATCACTTGCTCTCTATTGGGGAAAGTACTCCTAAATCGTGTTGATGATAACTTTGTGCGACCAATTGCTGTTGGGAAATTGGCTGAAAAGAACATTCTTCACTGGCGCCGCTTACACCTTTGCTTCTGTGGCTGCTACAGATGGATGGGCACCCACTTTCCCCTCCATTATCGGTTTCGAGTGAGCATTTTGATAGAAGCTCAAGCGAGTCCCCAGCTTCTGTGGCTCCAAGGAGCCTGAAACACTCAAGTTCTGTCATGGCTGAGCGACGCCGTCAAGCATACAACAGGCTTGGTGTTGGTGGGTTCATCGAGTTGGGGAACGATGGCGTTTTGCCTAGCATATTGTCACTTGAGATCAGTACAGATTCTGTGTGCATGGCCATTCCGCCAGAAGAACATGTTGGACGTGTCATCATGTTTTCAGAACTGTGGTTGAGTGCAGCAAAGCAGGTAAGATCGTTTCTGCATATGTTTGTGATAATAATAAAACCCACCTTCTTGTGCCCTGGCATTTGTATATTTAGTGGTGGCCTACCCTGGACAGAAGTGCATGTGTGCATCAGTGCCTTGTTGGTGCAGTGTGCCTGTGAAGCACTGTGCAGGAATGCCTTGCAGGTGGAAGTGCAGTACTGTTTTTCAGTGTTAGCCCCTATGATCAAAGTAGAGGAACTGTGCAAAGCACCCAAATGCTCATCCAGCTGTTTTATGGATGCTGCACCCAAAAAACAGTAAATAGACAAATGGAGAAGTAAATGGATACCTGCATGAATAGATAAGGCAGTAAATGAATGAATGAATGAGCAGGTGAGCAGGTGGTTAAGAGGGTAAGAAAGGGAAGTGGGGAGGCTGAGTATGTAATATGTGGCCCTGACTTGTTGATCAACGAATGGGAAACCCCCTATCCATATCAGATCTACAATTGATATGCCTTTTCCATCATTCCAATCCATATGCTCAACCCATCGAGTGACTGAATCACCTTGTGAAAGTTGTAACTGGGCTGTGCAAGGACCCCAAAACCCAACTGGCACAAGTTGGGAGAAAAGCAGAAGTGGTGTGCTCTGAGTGTAAAAAATCAAAATGTGGTGAACAGAAAGGACTGGAAGCAAAATATAGCCAGGGCTCTATGTGAGGATCTCACCTTATGTGAGGATCTCACCTCATGTGAGGATCTAACCTCATGTGAGGATCTCATGGTTAGTTAGAAGATCTCTCTCTAGCAAGGAGTGTGGAGCAACACTGCTGCTATTCGAGCGACTTGCCTCTGCCCAGCTGCTTCTTGGGATCGCTGACAGTGGTTGCTCAATGGACAACTCCTTGCAGGTTGTAGCTGCTTATGTGCAGCAGCTGATATCAACAATCAACCAGAAACACGCGCAACAGCAAGGATCAAAAGTCCCCAATCCGAGGCCTGCCTGTGTGGAAATCTGGATAAGGGCAAAGAGCCTGGGTTTCCGTGTTGAAGCGCATCCACTAGAACAATGGATGGCTTTGCATGGTGTTCTGCTGCGAAAGACAGTTCTGCAGCAGCACTTGTGGTCTTGTGACAGTCATGGCAATGAGGAAAATGTTGCCCATGGCAGTGAAGGGGACAAGAAGAAGGGCAGCGATGGCTTGCCTGAGCACCAAAGAGCACAAAAAGCAAAGGAATGGGTGAGTAGTGTTGCTTCTGCCTTGTGGCAGTTCAGTGTGTTTTCTTGTGGCTGCAGTGTGGATGATAAGCCTCAGCTGTTCACTGACATCCTCAACATTGTGGCAGGCTTCCATTGATGTGTTTCATCGCTATAAGGAGAAATGCACTGAGATCAAGTCTGGAGCAGAAGAGATGTTGCACCATCGTGGCGCTTTGCTTCATGTTGCCATGTCCCATGTGGATGCCCTCATCATCGTGGGAGACAAGAGCTGCCCAGAAGTGGTTGAGGCAGCAGTGAAGAACATCAGGGAGTTTGACAAGCCTTCAAGCGACAGCGTACTGTTCTCCAACGTGCAGCCTTTGTTCTTGAGTGTCCAGGCTGACAACATGATGGGGTATATTGGGGGCCTGGTGGGTAGCACTGGCACATTTGCTACAATGCCACTGTTCTGCTGCAGCCTACACTTGACAAATTGCAACATTTCTTATGAAATCATATCATGAGCACTGCCAAACTTGACAGCAGGCTCCATTCATAGGCACTGTGGCACCCTGTGTTTGATAAGCTATGCACAAGCAATCCTGCACCTTGGGAGCCCACCAATAAAATAGGCAAGCTCTCTGTTGTGCTCCCTTGTTGGAAGTTGCCTTTCCATGATTGAGGCGGAAAATGGGTGCCTTTGCAGTAAAGTTACCACATTGCATGGTCTGTGTTACTGTGGAACTGCATGTCTGCCTTGACTTGTTCTCAGAGCTGCACCTCTAGGGGTGCACTCGGTCTTTTGCTTATTTTGACAAACTGCCCATGCTGATGTTGTGAGTCTGGTTCCCAGGCATATTGCTTGATAGTTCTAGGGAGTGGTGTTTGACACAGCTGACAGCCTTTCTGCAACATTGGTTTGTTGTGGGTCTCTGTATTTGTTGTCTGCTGTGATGCAAGGAACTAAGTTCCATTGTTTAGGTTTTAAATTTACCTGGAAAGACAAAATTGCAAGAAGCCGGTGAGCCAGGAAGCTGGCACGACATTCGATAGCTTCTGCAAGTCTACCTGAGACACTGTTGTTGGTACAGTGTGGTCATCCCAGTTACTTGCCCAGCATCTGTTGAACCAAGCAGTGATTAAAGTCTTGTCACAGGGAATCATCAATGTACCCAATTGGAATGTTGACTGTTGCATACCGGTCTGTGTTGTTGGTGGGCTGTCAACAGCATTCCTTGAGGTACAGCACAAACACTGTTGTGAGAAGGTGACCTTCGTGTATCCCGTGCACTGCTTTTGGCATTTGCACATAGTTTTCTGCCTGAATGTGCTGCCGTTATGTGTGCATATGAGGTTCTAGGAAAGCAGTTAGCATCGTTGGGTACTACTATGTACTGTTGGCAAAAGCTCCTTGGATAGTATGTGCAGGATAGTTTGTGACTGCTGCATGTGCGATATCTGCTCTGCCTTGCATCAGGGCATCAGAAAGTGGACGTTTTCGAGTGAACTGTTCTGCAACCTGAGCTGGACCAAGGTGATGGGAGTGACAGGGAAGCCTGCTGTGCCCTGTGGTGCAGGAGACTGCCAACATTCCAGCTGTTGCGTTCACTGGTGTGCTTGTTCGTGGTCGTCAACTTACCCACCCACCTCAAACTATGACAATGACATTCAAAGTTGGTCGATGGCATTCAGTCGATCAGAGTCACCCAATAAAGGGGGCACGCCCACCAATGAAAGTCTACACATCAATGGAGGCTTCACTTGACTCTGCAAGAATTCAGGGTGGTATTGGCTTAGAACCAGTGATTGCACAGGTACCTGCTATGCAGACAATGTGTTCTGCCCCCACATGCACTTCCTTGAGTACAATTTAACTTAGAGTGTCTGAAGCAGCATGTGTGCCCCTTTGTCCTGAGTTCTGCTTGCAGTTGTCATGGGAACTTGTCAGCAGTCATGACAGTCAATTCCACTACTTTGTGCTGTTCCAACTAAGGGTATTTTGCTGCTTAAATACAAGGTGTGGTCTATCATTGACAGCAGTCTACGAATTCACAAAGTGCAAAGTATCTGTATTTATGATGGACTGTTAGCACACAACAAGGCCGAGGGAAAAAGCTGTCACATTTCTGTTGCAGCTTAGCCTGCTGCTGTAGTGCTGTTTTCCCTTTTTCCTGTGGCTCTGAATATGAGCTGTACTTCCTATGTGGGTATCATGACAGTCATGAGGCATGTGCCACATATTTACATTGTTCAGGTGCGGAGAGCAGTGTTGTAGCCCTTGCTGCCTGTGTATGTGTACCCCTTCTGGTTCTTACTGGACAGTATCAATCCATAGGACCCACATTTGTGCCAAGTTGTGTGAGGATTGGTTCTGGCCTTCCTATGGGACATTTGCAATGTTAGCTTGTGCTGAACTTCTTTGTGCTTCAACAGATGGCTGTTGCTTTCAACCGACTGGTCCCGCCAAACATGGTAAATAGTAATGGCACTCTGCAACAAAGTTCAACTCCTGTGCTGAGGCCTTGGGACAAGACCAGGTACATGTGGAGGGGCACGATGAAGCTCCATCTCAATCAGCTGCAGGCAGCTGTGTCTACATCAATAGACCCAATGGTCTGTATGCACACGGAGCGAGTTGAGCTGGGGGCAGGTGGATTGCATGTCAACGTGAGTGTGAACGACGGCCACTCAAATCTTGTTTGGACAGTGTTGCACTTTGCTGGCCTTGTTTGCTCTATTTACAATGCAGCATGTTCCTCCAACAGAGTCTTTCACTAGCATGTGTGTGATGGTGTGTATTTTGGTGCGATTCCCTGGGATGTCTACATTAGAGGCTGCTCTTGCTATGCTGCTGCTGAACCACAGTGATGTTGGCAGCACTGCAGTGCAGCGTACTTTGCCTGCTCTGTTTGCATATTTGTGCCAGCTGTATGTGATTTTCATTGGGTGACCATGTGTTCTCCAGGTGATAGCAGGCGGTGTTAATGTTGAAGCTGATGACCTTCGAATCACGCTTTACAAGTCTTCTCTTCGTTCAGCACCGGACGATTTGCCTCAAGAATTCCTGCTTGCTGTTCTTCCATGTGCAAAAATGCAGTTTAGGTACAACTGGAAAATGCCATTTGGGAGAAACCCCATTGACCATTACGCATACCCTGTTGTCTCTCAATGCGATGAAAGTTTGCGCCTTGCCCCAGTAGATCTGGTCAGACTCTTCCGAGGTGAAGGCTATGAGTTCTGCATAACAGCAAATTTGAAGGGGAAGGAGAGGTCAGTGGGAGAAACCATTGTGGATGATGAAGTGCCAGTGATTGTGATGGGTAAGTATTTTCACATTTGCTTGCTGCTGTGAAGTTCCAAGATGCATACCCATGGGCAACGTCGATGTGCAGTGTGATCTTGAAATGTTTGCAAAGTGGTAGTACTCAAGGCCCAATATTGGACAAAGTGATTTGTGTTGGGTTCCATAATCGCATAGAAAAGGGCTTGAGAAAGTGGCTTTGTGGTGCAGTGCTGCATTAAGGTCACAAGGATGACTTGTTTGCTTGTACAGTGTGTTCCTTGGTGTGAGGCTGCTGCTTGAGTCAGATGGCCCCAAACTAGGTCACATAGTGGGATGCCTGAAACCACATCTGGGGTGATTTATGATGTCACTAAGTATCTGGCGACTACCTCGCTATCTTACAATTCGTACACATCCCTTTCTGCTTGTGAACTTGAGTGGCCCATTCCCTGCCCATTCTTATTCCAGTTCTGCTGCTGGCCTAGCATCTGATTTTGAGTGCCAGCATGTTCCATGTCAAATTGGTTGTGTCTTGCTGTGGAGAACAGGTGAGCCTCATATCCGGTTCCTGATTGATATGGTCGAATGTATGGAATCCCCTCCAATCTATATTCGTGGAGCTTGGAAGCAAGGAACTTACTTTGTCAAGAAAGGTGCATCCCTTGATGCTGGGCCTCCACTTCCCAAACTGCTGCACAAGGTTTGTGTCTCTGCGGAAGTACAACTGATCGAGGTGAAGCATAATGCCCTGGATGCCGATGACCCTGGGCACGATGTCTGGGTCTGCTGTGAGTCTGTCAGATTTGCGGGGACCTGGGCCTTTATGGCCAACCTGGATAGGCTGCAGCGTGTCAAAGCAGGCGAAGTCATCAACGATGAGGGCTACGTGTGGATAGATGGTCTTCGGCGAAGGCGTCCCAGGTGAAGAAAAATCTCTGTCTTGGCATGGGGTGGCAAGATGAGCAGGTTTGGTTACATGTGAGCTGCGCAGAAATACATGCTGTCGGTGCCTCAGGATAAGTACAGGAACATGCTGCATGCTGTCGGTGGGCACCCTGGTGCTGCTAATGTTATGTAGTTTTCTCAGCAACAACCAAATTTGCTGTGCAGGGTCAAATCTCCACCTGACATGGAGAATCTTGAGGTCGAAGCCTTCCAGATTCGTGGATATTTACCAGATCAGCATGCGACGCACCCACTTGTGTCACGGTATGTGCTTTTCCGTTGCTTTGATTTAGTGACTGGGCACACCACACCTCTGGACGTGTGTGCACACGGATGTGTATGCATTTGTGTATGCACACTGAAAATGTGTCCATGGCGTGTGGTGTCAGAAATGCAGTGGTGATGAAAGCCAGTCGTTCTTGATAAGAGTTTGCTGGAAGCACAGAGGTCCTGTGTATCCAGTTTTTAGTACAGCTTTAGTTGATGCACTGATCCAGTTCCTATCAACCTTACACTGCTGCAACACAGCACACCTGGTCGAATATTCTCAGCAGATTGTGGTTGGCATTTCAGGATACTGACATTGTCTGCACAGCTGGCAAATGTGCTGTATTGCTGTTGGGTGCCCAACCTTCTTCCATTGCAAATCCTACCACACCTGTAATTCAGGTGGCCCCTTTGTAACCAAAAGGAGGAGGGCTTCCCATTGCCTTGCCTTGCAAGACTGCCAGTGTTGCGTGCAGTGATTGTTTCGATGAATGAATTATGTCTGAGCCATAATTCAGGTGACCAGCTAAATATGCTAGAACGGACCCTAATCCTGATGTTTGGTCCTGATAAAACACTGGAACAAACCCTGGTTTGGGTACATGACTATTTTACAGGGACATTTCCGCTCCATCGCGGTTCATTTATTTCTTGTTTCAAATGACCACATCGCTGTGTGGTGCTTGGGGTGTCACTGAACTACTCAGATCGCCATGTCCCGCACGCAGCAACGATGCCTTTTGAATCTGTGCTGTAAATTGTTGAGCGATCCCAACAACCAATTGGTAGTGGCTGCAATGTAAGCTTGATTGAGTTTGTCCAGCAAGATTTTATACAAATCGATTCTGATAATGCCTGGGACGTTCATTTGAAAATTGATTGCTTGTTCGGGATTCCTGTGTACATGGGCCTAATGCTTCTGCTGATGCTGAGAACATGGATTGAACAGTTTCACAAATTGATGAAGACATGCCATAAATGTTGCCAGCACCCAATTGTAATGCCAGTATGATTTCAGTTTGGTTTTAAGAGCTACCTTTATGTGAAAGGAAAGGAGGTTCTCTTACCATGGTACATTCCTTTTTGTGCCAGAACCCAATCTTTGGATGAGCAAAACTCTCTGCTTCGAGATCTACTGCACCAAGTTCGTCAGCCATCACGTGTGCACCTGGGGGCCAGTATGGAGAGTACAACACCTGCACCTGATGGTCTGGATGGTCACATTCTGTCTGCTACAGCCTTTCTGTTGAGGCAATTGTCACCACAAGCATCAACGCAGCATGACAGAAGTGATGCTGTCCAGCTACCCAGTGGAGAAACAAAGCGGTGAGGTTGGCACTCTGGTTGTCCAGGGGGCGGCCTTCATTGTGGATCACTCTTTTTTCCAGTTGTGCAGGTGTTGCTGACTTGTGGTCTCTATGTGGTGTGTAATTTTTTAGGCCCTTACGCATTGCTGTCATGGATGTGAAGGCGCTGATGCCTAAAGAAGTTCAAGACGCAGTGTTTTCAGTTTTTGTTCACATGGCTGCAGCATTCAGCAGGGCCCCGCAGGCTGCAGACCTTACAGTAGAAACCAGCCCTTCCCAGGGGCCCAAAAGGCAGCCAAGTGTGCCTCAGCCTACGTCGCCAATGGAAGGTGAGGCTCTCTTAGTTGTCCATGTGCCCCCAAGGCATGCCGGTGTTCTAGGATCTGCCAAAATCGTGTATTTAGAATTGATAGAAAACATTCTCTTTCCTGCAAGAGTGCAGACCTGGTAAAGAAGAAACTGAAATGGTGCACAGTGATCCAACACAGTGTTGGCACATTTTGGTGACAACGTTTTTTTTCCAGACATGTCATTTTAATACCATTGCACTGTGAATGCACGCAGGCATGATACTTTCTCAATGTCAAAATTCGTTGTGATGTGATGAATAGCAACCACAATACTGTGAGTGCAAGACCAGTAAGCTGCTTTTTCCAATGTTTTCCAGTTGGGAATACACCAACGAAGTGCACAAAGGCTGGGAAGCGTGATATTGCAGCAGAATGTGAGATTTCAACATTTAAGATGCAGATGCACTTCAACTGCTGCATCATATTTCTAATTTCAGCCTTTTCTTTTTCAAACTGTCATCATCTATTTGGATGTTGTTGTGGAAAGGAAGCGCTGATAACACAAGCGTGCCTCAGTGTATTTGGAGCAAACTGGATTCAGTACTGGCTCTGCTGTTTACAAGCAGTTTTCTATCCTGATGAGCTTTATTGTGGAAACAACTCATGTAGCTTGCTTGTACAGCTGTCCTCTGAAGCCCTCCTACCAGTGCTTGTTATTGGGCCCTCACAGCTCAGTCGACGGTTGAACAAAGCTTGCCCCAGTTGATTTGTGCACTGTGCGAATGGTGCTGTGTGACACAATCTCACTTCGCAACTCTGGTTTGATCCACAGAAAGACAAGAGGACTCACTTTTGAGCGCTCTTCTACTGCAAGATCCAGAGAGCATTGAGAACTCTCCAGATGAAGCCATTGCAGCCTCAATGTCAACACAGGTGAACGGCCACAAGCACTGATCTGCCTGTGTCCTGGTTGACTCTCCTGTCCATGTTTGTAGTTTGTTGAGAGCATACTCAGGGGGTCAGGGCTGTCATGCAGACTGAGGGTTTTTGGATTTAGAGACTGTTTGTTGCTCAAGCTTAAATCATTGTGATGGTTTATGGTTGTGTTTGTAGGGACGGGACCACGCAATTGAGGGCTCCAAGTTGATACTGGAATTGGAATTTACACAGGTGCAGCTGAACCTTGCAACAGATGTTTCAGAAGGGTGTGTTGTCCTTGCATTGGACAGCGGGGTGTTGAAGCAGCACTTCAATGAAGAGCATCATGAGCAGATCATGAGGCTGAGCGTTGACCATGTGAGTTGTTGGCATTTGGTGCACCATTTGTGGCTGCTGTGGGCTGCATGCAGTTTCCATTGCCACTCTGACCAGAAGAAACTGCCAGTGGGCTACAAGTGCACTGTCTAGCAGAATCGTTGTTGTATGTCAGTCCATAATTTGAGATGCTGGACGTGGGTAAGCCGCTGCAAGCAACTCTGAACTTTGCCTTTGTCTTTCTGTTATCCAGGTCCAGGCCTATGTTATGGACACCACTGTTGATCCTCACAACCCTGTACGCTGGCTTGAGGTATCCAATGGCCAGTTGTGCGTGCCACCCGACAGTATGGACATGCTTCAAAGGATCGTCAAGCCTTTCAGTGTCAGCCTGTCACTGACAGGCCTTCTTGTGACCGGACAGGTGTGCAGTATGGTCAGATTCGAAATAATGGTAGAATCAAGCAGTTTGTGTGTGTGCCATGAGCGGCAAGTTGTTGGTCATTCGCCAGGCACATTCTGCTGCCCATCAACAAAGGTTTCTTTCAGGCACTGTAGTTGGTCTTGGACTGAGTTAGGGTGGCGAATATCACACAAACAAATGTGCCTTCAACTGGCACCCATGTACCATAGGGACTTGCTCTTTTCATGTCAATAATTTCAGCATTTTCAATGCTGTTGCAGGCTCTCTTCCCTGATCGGCCGGCTGAGGATCTGGAGTTGGTATCTCCTGAAATTGTTGCACAAACAGAGCGAGAACAGTTTGAGATTATTGTTGATGTGATCAACACAGCCATGCACCCTTTGCCAACCATAAAATGTGTCAAAGACACCGTGCTGGGTCCAACAGGATCCACTGTGGAAGATGCAAATCTGGACATCATTGAGGCAAAATCAGAGTTGAAGTCTCTCTATGTGAAATTCAATGCCCTGAGGCAGGAGGTGAGGAGGTGTCAAGGTCTGCACACTGATTATTGCATCCACTAGAAGGCACAGAATTCCCTGTGTACAAGCAAATAACACTGTTCACAAGTCAGATGCAATGTCCAAATGAACTGATCGTCTTTGCACAGTGTGTCTGGTGCTTCAAACAAATGCACTGTAGCTGTGCACACATTGATGGCTGTCCTGGTGGACATTGTGTGTATAGGCATATGCCGTGTGGACAGCAGGTGATGAAGGCTCTGTTCTTCACACAAGCCAGTCTGTCTTCCTTGGTGACAAGGGCTTGGACGAGTTGCCTTCCATGTCAATGCCAGCCAGCGTGGATCCTCAGCAAGAAGTGAACAGTTTGCTTCAGTCAGTGCTTGAAAAGGCTGACGGAATGGTGGCTTCAGCTCCAGGAGAGGAAAATATTGCGCAAAAACTGCTGCACTGGAAACTGGAGCAAAAGGTGTGTGTGGCCCAAGTTTACAGCAGCAGAGAAGAGATTCTGCAAGTATTGGTGGTATCAGTGAAGTCAGTGTCTGTGTCTGCAACATACAGCTGGTGACAATGGCTAGCTACATGCCCTGCCTGCTTTGATGTGGTTCTCAAGTGTATGACAACTCATGTTCTGCAATGCTGCTGCACCTCTTCAGATTCGGGATGCCCTAAAAGATTGCAAGGAATCTGCAAAGAAGCTGTCAATTGTTCGCAAACGTGTCCTTGAGGAGAACAAGCACAAGAGGCTATACAAATCCATGCATATGAGGTTTGCATGTGACCAGATCACGTGGCAGCTGACAAAGGATGGAGAGAAATTCATGCAGGCACAGATCCAAGGTTTCAGCTACACCAGGTAGAGCATTTGCTTCCTTACACAAAACTGTTGCACTGACTCTGCCCTGATGAGCCTGTTGTATCCGCTCAGAGTGAGGAGCATGCCATGTGGAAGATTGAAACAAATTCAGTAAATGAGTGGGCAGTTGACGTTAATGCAGCCATGCATCTGCATCCAAGATGTGTTTGTTCAGCTTCAAGGTTGTGGCTTTCCATCTATTTGGGATACACCAGCCACGCACTTTTGTGAGACGGTAAGGATACGCCTGGCTGGCTGCATTAGCTTGCCTACCTGAAACATTCGCGATGATAGAATATGGCACAAACATACATTTATGTTCACCATGATGTGACACCTGGTGGCTCCATGGTCGTCCAGAGCTCACGAGCACGATTGTCTCTCTGGCAGACCGAAATAGTCTTTTGAAAGGAGCAATAATAGAAGACTGAGCTGTCCCAGTACCATTCCTTTCACACCATTGTGTTAACTACCTGTCTACCTGTTCGTATCAAAAGCTGCAACAGGAAGGGCAACAAATGAACCAATGTTGTACTTTGGTGGCAGAGCTGGCCATATGCAGTCTACTTTCCTTGGCATCATCCTATAGGGGTACCTCATGCTGCAAGGTTGCACTGCTTGTTTGGAGCACTTCAATCTCCAAAGAACTTGTTGGATTTTGAGTCTGACATTATGTTCAGGCCTAACCTTGAAAGTGTGGTGCACTGGTGCATCCACCACCACAACGCACTGGTATGCAAATGGGCAAGAAGTACATATGTCATTAAAAATAGAAGTGCTCAAAAATCCAAGTCTGGCATACCAGATCAACAGCAGTGTACTGGTTTAGTCTGTGTGAAATACATACATTGCGCTCAACATTCCTGCTGAATCCAGTGTTTCTTGTGCCTGTGAGCATAACATAAGCCTGGGAAGTTTCAGAGCACTGGGCGCATTTCTGCCAGAATGTTTCATGGTTTGGATATTCCTCACAATACGATTGAGGATTTCACGCTGCAGAACCTGTTTTGGATGGACATGATGTTGGCAGATCTTGCAGCCTTATGGTGCAGGTAGCGGTGTGCTTTGTTAGATCATGACCTGACAAATGAGGCAATTCCTAACTTACCAGCAGGGAGAACGAATTGGCCAATGTGCGGCTTGCAGCTGATATTGCTTGTTCCAGGTTATAGTAATGGGGCACCACTGGTGGTACACATACTTGCTCAATTTTGCTTGTTCATTCCAGTTTGTGGCCGTGCTGCCACATATTGTGTTTGCGCTACATCCCAGTTGCAAATACTGTGTATGTGTGTTTTTGTATTCCCAGCACGAAGAATAAGGATCTGTCAGGGGAATCAAAGATGTCAGTTCACCGGATCGAGCTCCGTGACTTACAGAATCTTGTTGGCGAAACTCCATCATTGGACAGAGGAGTCGTTCTGTCTGTGCTTCAGCCAGCAAGTGCCAGTGAAGAAATGATTCGAGGCTTGTTTGTGAGAGGGGGACAGACTTCATCATTGATTTACTATGAACACATCGAGGTAAGCCCTCAATGGCCAGAATAGTTTTTTCAGCTTGCACAGCACTTGTATTCAATGTTCACCAGCTTGCACGTGCTGTACAGCATGCAGGTGTGTGGGAAACAGAAACCATAATCAAGTTTGGACTTGTTGAAAGCTCTAGTCGTTCCAGATTGGAAGGGCTGATGTTTTGTAGCAATCCTATTGTTTGGCTGCCAATTGCACACCACCCTGGCTTAAGTCTGGGTGTGGATTTTGACAATTGCGAGAAACGCTGTCTTTCATTCTGGTCAGCTTGCAAGTATTTGTTCTTTGCGTGGCAATTCAAGCACTAGTTCCTTCGCTGTCGTGTGTATTTGTGGCACCTGGATAGGATCGCATCTGTCGTTGCAAGGCTTCCAGTTCTCAGAACTGTTTTCCTTTGCTAGGTGTGGGTGCACCCTCTTGGCCTGCACTTCACAGAGCAAGCAGCCCGTGAGCTGAGTGCATATTTCTTCCCTGCGGAGTCAACACATCAGAAAAAGAAGCAGCAGGAAGATTGGGCCAAGGCAGTCACAAGACATCCTCAAACCAGCACGCAGCTCAGCACGGCTGTAGAATCTGAGTCTGAGATAGAAGTGCACATAGATACAGGTATATCAGGCGTTAGAAGTACCTACACCTGTAGTGTATGCCACTTACCATACTGCAATGGAATTTGGCAAACGCCTCCTCAAACTTTTCAACCGCTGGCAAGTGTGCTTGGACGCTTCTTGGGTTGCAGTTTGCCAACCGTCCTTGTCCTCAGCTGGCGATGCTACCAATACAGCCTCTCTGTTGTTGTGTTCGTGCCACGTATTTTGTTGTGCAAGACTCCACTGTCTTCAGAAGCGGGGGGTCCACCATCAGATTCTGTGGAGAACTGTTGCATGGGTGTTGCCATTGAACGTGAAAGTGGGTTTCCTTTTGCAGCGGATTTCATGGATGGGTCGACTTCACCATCAGACGAACCGGAAGAGAGGAGTCGGTCGTCGACGACAGAATTGACCTCCTCCATGTTTCAGAATCAGCAAACGAATGCGCAATCCCTCCAGACGAAAGAGCACGGCGACCCAGTCGAGCCACCAAGTTTTCTAATGACGCCACCAAGCAAGAAAGCCAAGGGCCTCTGCATGCGGCAGAAACTGCACTTTGTTCACTTCAGATTCAATCGTGTAGTCACGCAGATCACATATGAAGGTATGCCTTTTTCGTTTGCAGATCTGAAGATAAAACTGGACACTGCAGAGTACAATCATATGGAAGGTCAATGGGTTAATGTTCTGAATCGGTACAAAAACAACGTGATCACATCAGTTCTGAAGTCGGTGGCGTCTTCTATGGGGAGAAAGTTTGTCCCTCCTGGGAGCACTGATCATCCTAGGTCAGGTCGCCGAATTCTTGGGAAGATCTTCCACAGGAAGAAGCCAAACAATAGGGATTCAGATGAGTTTGGTGAGGATAGTAGAGAGGATGCTGACAACCTGGCCACAGTGGAGGATGATGGCCAACATGAGGAAAAGGCCAGCAAATCGACGACAAAGGACAAAGGAACGAGGCGTCTGCTTGGCCTCATGGGCCGGTAACAGAAGGGCACGTAGGGATTGCAGAGGCTGACAGTTGATGGAGTCCAGTTTGGGAGCGGGCCAATCATGAAGCAAGAACAAGGACTGTGGCAGGAGGCGACGTATTTGTTGCTGCATCATTAGTCTTAGGCCTCTGTTTGCGCTATTGTGTTGGTGTAGATCTCTAATTTGCACAATCAGCTACCATTAATATTCACTCATGTAAATGGGATGCGGGTGTCTTTGGTTGGACTGCCATGTAGGATGACGTCCTCATGGGAACAAGTGTCAGATTGTACAGTCGCAGCAGTGGCAGCAAACGACTCTGCAACACCTCCATCTTCGCCACACCTGCCTGCCCATATTCTACCCAAAGGTGAGGGTCGCCGTCATCTCTCAAAACTGATAGAACATGGCAAAAATCGAGGTTGCAATCACACAGTTTGTTTACCATTGCAGAGGTTCACTGCCAAAAGGCCATGTACGTTCCATGTACTCTTTCATCAGCATGGTGCTGCAACGGCCTAGTTATCTGGCAGACTGACTAATTCCCATTAACACATTAATCGCTGAAGTGTAATACATTTTCGCCTGTCCCCTGAACTTGGTGAACGAGCGGCAAGACAACTTGAAATCGTCTGATCGCCGCAACTGGAATCAGACAACGACCTGTTCAACAATATGGCAGCGGCGAACTTGGTGGTGATAGCACGGGAGCATGCCATTCACAACACAGAATTCGACCAGCTGAGTGGTATTAGCCCGGCAGCATCAGCACACAACGGCAAGCGTTTCAGAGCAGCGAAACTTAATGCACGGTGGCTATTGCCACCACAGACCCATCTGTCGAATCTGTTTGTCACACATATGTACGCCTCTTACAATCGACCCTCTCGATGCCCACCCATCACCACGATTCAGGGACCAAAAGGGTCCAAGAAGTGCAACAATCCCATAAAGATCTGTCCGTGGCGGCCGTTCATTAAAGAGCGTCTTTTTCATTATACGGTTCTGGCTGCCAAAATCAAGGTGGAGCTGTGATTGAACACCCAAGAGCCAAGGTGTCACTGCCCGGGTGAATGGACCACGTTCGAGCTATATGATATTCAGTGTCCAGAACTACAGTTTGAGCACACAAAAATGTGTTTGATGCCTTCTCTTTTGGCAGGACACAGCCCGCCATTGTGTAGTGCACAACTGCAGCCCATCAGCGCATTTTATGCGCATTTGGACCAAAGCACCAGTTTGGAGCCGCGAATTGCACCTTTCCACAGATTGCGCACACACACCACTACACCACACAGCCAAATTACAAACCAGCCCTATTGGAAGTTTTACTGTCGCGCTCACATCCTTGCACACTCCTTGAGTGGCTGCGGCCACCCTCAAGGGAGCGCCACGTTGTTCCAACGCACGCCCTCATGCTGCGGCCCCTCTAAGCTTCTCCTCTCCACTGGGCGACCCCTTCTCGGGGCCTCTCTGTGGCGGACGCCACATTCTCCGTGTCGATGGATTTTGATGGGCAGATCTCCGATGGCCAGCCATCGATGCCTCGCCATGGTGCGTGCCTTGTGGGCGTCCTTCACCGGTTTGGGCTGCACTTTTAGGGCCTTCGCGGCCTGCCTATCCCGTGCATTTCGCCTTTGTTATGCAGCAGGTGCCTCCTCGGCGTCCTTTGGGCGTGTGTGGCCATCCACGAATCGGATTCGAGGGTTGCCTTGAAGGGATCGTTAGGCAAACCGCCTAACGGACATGACATTGAAATGACGCCTTTGTGGGTGCTGTGCCCGCCCTCTTGCCACACTGAGTGGGGGTGCATGGCCTCCTCGGCCGCCACCCCTTACTCACTTTCTCAGCAGGCGTTTTGTGGTGTGGCTCTTTGCGGTGCTGCAGGGCTCCTTTTTATACCAGGACACCTCAAATGTCGGATGGCCTAACGTGGTGCCCAACGCCCACAGCCACACGCATACCTATCAATCAGTAAATTGCATTTGCACATCCACAGAATGCACTGGTCTGACCCCTTCAAACCGTCCACTTGACTTTTCAAACGGCCCAAGCTGCCCCACAACCGCAACACTAGCGTCACCACAAATGGCTACACAATCAAGACCATTTTACACATTTTTCAGGACGGGGCTGCACCTCCTGTGTACAACAAGACATCATAACAATGGCTGAGTGTCTGAAAGTATTGTCTAGTATATAAAACACAAACACATGCTGCAATGGGGCAATGCACATAACCCCATCCAAAACGTATAATATATCGCCAAACATCAAAAGCAACATGTCTAGCCCTTTGACATTACTCAATCACTACAAAGGCATAAGACCAAACCCAAGAAACTGACCAGGAACACGTTCCAAAACGTGCCCACACAAGATTAGGCAACCTCTTCTAAGAAAACCTCAACAATTGGCCCCCTTTTCAAGTTAATGAGATTCCATACTATTATAAGTACAGAAAATGCGCCCTTGAACCCACGCAAACCCCTCACAACACATTGTCACTCGTCCCCTGTGTCCCACACCACCAAGGGAAGGTGTGCTTAATTCATGGGTTGTAAAAGGCTCCTTGGCAGCTGTGCAAACGTGTAAAAGAAAGTGGTTTCACACACACAACTACTTTAAAGACAAAACAAACTTTTAAAAGGGTCTGGCTGTCAGCTCTTATTAAGAACCACGGATGAGCTGTTGGCTCCCTTCCATAGGACCATGCACAATCCGGTGCACTTGTCTTTCCAAAATGACCATCACCCTTTCACATTTTCCTTTCCCACTAGGCCAACTCTCATCAACTTTTTTCTCAATAGCTAAACACTTGGTCCCAACTCGGTATGGGTTGCATAGCCAACCTTGGGTGAAGTGCAAAATACACAATCACCACACATGGTAAGGGGAGTCAACCTGCTTTTGACTCTCACTCCCTCACGCTAGTCGTGTGCTGAACTTGTCATGGCCATCTAGGCCCATGATTCTTAGTGCATGTAGGATTTTTAGTGAGAGAGGTAAAAATAGCCTTGCATAACACAAGGACTGACACCGTGCCTGGTTTCTAAAATCCCACAAAGCCAGCACACCTGCCATGTCAACCTGTGTATGTAAGTGCATTTCAAGACCTTTGCTTGAATGCAACCTTACACATCACATGAAAACCCATTTTTCATGTAGATTACTGGACTAGTTGTCTCTTCTCATCAGGTCAGACAACCCAAATGGTCTTTCTCAGACCAGGGAATAGCTGATTAGACTATCCCAATCTACCCACACAGCCTGTGCCCTTGAGGCACAGGACCTCCCAAAATTGTCATTGAATCCAATCATTCTGGGGCGCTGAATGGTGATATAAATCTAGTGAAAACACAGGGTGGCATCTCACACCCAGCCCTTGTCTCCCTAGCCTTACACCGCCCTCATTCTCATTCCTAAGATTTGTGGTTGTGTGCTCATAACCCATTCTTGGAGTGTTGTCTCTTTGTTTTTTATTTTCTTTTATATCAACAATGGTGGCATACTCGGGCCATCCCAAGCAACATGCACAATGCATACAGTAGATACCCATTGTACGCCAATTACATAAGTGGTCCACCCAATGAAAATGGTGGTCATTATGTGGCATCACAAACAGATCCAAATAAGTTCATTAACCAATCTCGCTGAATTCAAAGATTCGTTTCAATTAAATGGTATCCCAAAACAACCAAGCCCATCTGTCTATCCACGGTAGTGTTACCACCTAATTTCCTAAGTCACATATCACCCACTCCTAGCAAATATGCCATTGGATGCATTCACAATAACTCCAACCTTTGGTGGTGATGGGCCTTAAGTTATGCGTCTGCTCACTTGCACATGCCACATATCGATGCAATTGCAAATCATGTCCTCTAGGGATTTTCCCAATTGCATGTTGCTACCTACAATCTACCACTTTGCAATTTGATTTCAGCCTCCCCAATGCACAATTATACTAGCGCAGATGCACAACCTATATTCTAAAACGCCACCCCATTTTCAGAAGCAGGGTGTGTCTTACATTGTCCTGTCAACCTGTCAACAAGCCTTGCTTATCTCCTACCACTAAACCCTGTATATGGCCACATGCAGCTACACCACCGCTAGGCGTATATCACATGCATCAAAAGAATGTGTCTTGGTGTTGGTGATATCACAATAGATATGTGTAAGTCATGTGCTCATGCAACAATCCGAGCGACCCAGCAGAGCCTCAGTATCGATCCATGTGGTTGCGCAAGACATACACATCGATTGCACTTGTGATTTGGGTCCTTATAATCTTATGTCCACATGAACGACATAGAACACCAGCCCTTCCGGCTATATAGAATACACTCTTAAGCCCCCTTGAGATCTCTTGCAACTTAACTTATCAACAAACCGCCAGGATCATAAGCAAAACAATGCAACATTATTATGGATATAACAAAACGCCCCCAACCTTACAACAACATGACGCCATACCCACATGCCTCAAGTACTACAAACATGATGTGACGACTTGCTATATGTGATGTGGCTACTTGGGGTTAAGGCTTAATTGAAATTTTCCAGAGCGAGAATTAGTAATCTTGGAAAATTACTTTTTTGGGGTATTATTTAGAGCTTCTTGGTTCCAACGCGCTTTTAAACGCCCGATTCCATTAAGAAATGATGAAGATATGGCCTCTTGAAGTTACAACACTTAAGGCCAGGGGGTCAGGTGTTAGATGCTTGGAATTAGAGGACAATTGGTTGATCGTGGGTGAACAGTGGACGGCGATGATGTGCATGGGTGTGCGCATGTGTTGTCTTGTCTTGATGTGATAGCGATGGACCCATGATCGTGCATCACGCATGCAGATATGTGCATGCACATGCAGTGAATCGTGTAACTATTCTGACCCACACTCTAACCTCCTGCGAGCCAGCGAACCGCCACACCACTGCGCCGCCACCTCTCGCCGACAGCAGGCCCTGAGGATCAATCCCCATCGAGTATTGGGCTCACCGCACGACAA